GATTGTTGGGTCTTACCACCAGCGTTTCTGATTCTGTAGGTGGTGGGGTGGGGTGAGAACTTGCATTTCTCACAAGTTCCCAGGGGATACCCACGCTGCTGGTCCAGGGACACACTGAAGCTCTGAGTCTCTTCAAGTGCACTAGACTGAGCTGGTTTGGGGGAGAAAACATTTCTGGTTGTTAAAGGCAGGTTGCAGTAGGAGAGAAACCCAGAGTCAAATATTTCATTCCTACAACAAGTCCGTATGAATGGCAGTTGTTGGCCTAGTGCGTCAGTGGTAAAATCAACACAGAATGCCATGAATCGATTAAAAGTATTACAGTGCTTTCAGTACGGTCTCTACAATAGCCCCGGGAGGAAGTCATCCCGAGTCAGCCCCACACCGGGAGGAGCGCCCATCACCTGAGCAATACAGGAATTTTGGTTTTGCAATTTCTGTGCATCATTTGCAACTAATCGCCCTGCACAGGGGCTGATTTAGAGTGAAATAGTCATTTACTCAGGTTGAGAGATTCGTTCTGCAGCTTCCAGAAATGAGTCAATGGTGAGTCAATTAAGCATAGCTTTAACCTCAACTTAAGCCAAGGCCAAAAGGGAAATCTGCCTGCACTTGTGAACTTCACTTGTTTCTCTTCGCATCACTACTTCACTTGCCAACAACCCCACTGCCTTCCTAGAAAGGGGGCGGGGGACTTATACTGGGTACTCGTAATAAAGAATCTGGGCTGGCGAGTTAGAACACCGGGAGCCCTATTGGCAGAGAGGGCCTAGGTCCTTGGGAGAAACTGTGTGAAGAACTTTGGAAACTGAATGGACAGTCAGGGTGTTTGGACATCTAGGTAAACGACTCTGGAGTAAAGACGAAGGTGAGGGCTGCTCGCTTCCGTTGAGCATGGGTCGTGGGAAGACTAGGCCGCATCTCCAAGGGCCTGTGTCCCAGTGTTGGTAAACAGGTTCCTGGATAGGATGGGGAGGAGGTTAGGAAGTTCTCTGACCACTCTTTTGGGTTAAACACCCTATGCCCAGGGAAAGATGTCAAAAGCTGCAGAACTGGAATTCTTTTCTAAGAAGCAAAAGGACAATACCTAAAGTTTGGTTCAAAGAAGCAGAGGAAATCCTATCTCTCAAACAGGAAGAAAAGAGCCATTTAAGGAAGGATAGGCATGCCTAGAAATGGAGGGAGTGGCGAAGGGGAGGCAGCAATGATGAAGGCTCTTGGTCCTATAACTAGAGATGGAGGTAAACTTGTGGGTGAAATGAGAAGTGAACTTGAATTTGGGGCTCTCAACAAAACAGAAGTGGAACCAGATAATTCTGTGATTGTCATCTATATCCTGGAGCATTCTGAAACCAGCTTAGCCTGTGGGAAACAAAGGCTACTTTTTGTTTTATAATGACTTCAGACTTAGGAAGAAAGCGCTTCTCAGAAGAAACCAATTGTCTAGATTTAACATTTTGCTCATTGGCTTTGTCACACACACACACACACACACACACACACACACACACACATACCTATACTCACATATAATTTTTGTTCAAAACCATCTGAGAATTGATTGCAGGTATCATACCCCTTTATCCCTAAATTTGTGTGATTTTTCTAAGAAGGACATTCGTTAACATAACTACAGTATAACGATCAGAATCAGGAAACTTAATATTGATATAATATTAATATAATTTAAACCACAATCACTAATCAAATGTCATCCAATGATCCCAACTGTGTCCTTTATAGTTCATTTTTCTCCTGGTCTGGGATCCAGGATCCCCCAGTACATTTAGTTGATCTATCTCTTGAGTGTCTGTCCTTTCATCTGGAGTAGTTTTTCTGTCCAGTTTTTCTTCCTTGACCTTGACAATGACTTTGTGTAATTTCTTCAGTTTGGGTTTCTCTGATGTTTCCTCATGGTTAGAGGTGGGAGCAGGCAGTCCAGAGAATTGCCGTGTCTTTTTCCGTGTGTTGTAACGGGAGGCACAGATGTCGGTTTGCCCTAATATTGGCGATGTTAACTTTGATCACATGATTAAATGGTGTCTACCAGATGTCTCTACTGTAAAGTGATTATTTTTCCAAAGGCCTCATTTTAAATGGCATGAACATGAGCAATAAAATGAGTGAGCAAAATCTACTAAAGAATTCCTTGTTTTTATAGATGAACTCTCCCTCTCCCTCCTCAAACCTTTTCCAGAGCCTTAATGATGGGGCGGGGGGGGAACATCTGAGCTAGAAGGTATCTTAGATTTCATCTGGTTCCCTGTTTCCCAATTATTGATGCTTATCGCTGGTGGGACGAGAGGATTTTTTTTAATACGATGCCCATTTGTATTAGGTTTAATTGTATCACTTGGTAACAAAGATTTTCTGTTTCCCTGATCTCTCCAACCTTCTGGGTGTACTTACTACGTGCTGTGAGTCGGTTCTGATCCCTGGGGACTCTATGGATGAGTGATGTCCACGGTGTCCTGTCCTCAGCAGCCCTGCTCAGTTCCTCTAGACTCCTGTTTATGGCTTGAGAGTCGATCCCCCTCATATTTGGTCTGCTTTTTTTGCCCGCTGTCTTCTGTTTCTCCTCCCCCCCCCCCCGCCCCCAGCATTATTGTATTTCCCAAAGAAACGGCCTTCTTTTGATGTGCTCAGCAGACAACGTCAGTACCTTCTGAGTCCATGCAGTAACAAGGCTCATTTGGGTCTCGAAAATTTCAAATGGTTGCTAATTTTTTCCCTCTTAAAAAAGAAAAAAAGATGAAGAAGAAAGGGAAGGCCTTTATTACGCAGTCTTTGGCAAGCAATAGTATAGAATAATTCAATAACATTTTAAAAAGTCGCATTTATTTTTACAGTTGCCTGCTGCTCTCCACTAAAAATTAATATACAATTTTAATTTACAGTATTAACGATTCTCTTTCAAATTACACTTTAAAATTTGAAGTAAAACAAGTGAGTCACTTTAAAGAAGTAAGAACTTAAAACTCTTAGGAATTTGATAAGGAGATAATTGCTTAAGTTTGGGAAATTTCAACTTAGGGACTTGGAGGCCAAATTCCTTAAACAAAGTGACAATTTGCATAGCCTGCTCTTCCCATCCAGTCTTCTCGATGGAAATCCAAGGTGGTAGGCAAAGGAAGATGCTGGCAAAAAATAGAACAGCTCGAAAGAAGGCCTCAAAAGCCTTAAACCCAGAGTTGGGAGCACAGGTTCAGGCTTCAGGGTGAGGCTTCAGACACACCGCCTTCCCATCCCGTCCCCACCACTCACTAGACGGAGACCTGGCGTAGTTCATCCCTTTCTCTATTTCTCGATTGTCTCATTGTTGAGATGGCGATGGCAGTAAGTGGTGCGTCATTCATACCTTTGTTAGGATCAGTGAGCAGAGGTGCATACGGCGCTTAGCGCAGAGTATGGCCCCGCGTCAGCAACAACAGTAGGCTATTACGCTGAGGTCATTTTTCTGTTTGGGGGCAGGAACCGCGCATGAAGTGGGGCCAGGAAGGGTAACAGCGAACGGGATTTATTTCTCATGCCTTCTTCTGGGAAACCCGAGGGGCTACAGTGCGTGCGGCCGCGCCTGGCCCCTTAGGAGGTCACCCTAGTGAGGACATGAGGGGACCAGGCACTGAAAGGTGCAGATGCGCGTGGCGGCAGCGCGGCGTGATGCGCTGTTCCCCGCCGGGCTCTGGAGCCCCGGCCGCCCCCCGAGAACCCCGAGGCAGATGCGGGCGATGGCGGGGACAGGTCATGCTCCGCGCCCCCGTCTCGCCGGGCCGGGACACCCCCTTCTGCCCTCTGCGGCGCCGCAGGCTGCTCCGCACGAAGCCGGGTCTCTGAGCTCCGCGACCCTGGAGCACGCAGAGGTGCCCGCGCATGCGCTCCGGCGCCCCGCTGCTGTTTGGCCGTTTCCATGGCTACGAAGCCGGTCCTCTGGGAGTCCCCGAGCGAGAAAATGAAGCTCAAGAGCCTCCTGCTTCGTTACTACCCACCAGGTACGGGCCTGGCCCTCTCCGCCCTCGCGTGGGACCCTGGTTTCTGGCACTGGTCGGGGTCCTGAGAAGGCAGCGGGGTCCCCAGGGGTGATCCCTGTGAGACAGCAAGCAAGGTGCTTCCTCAAAACTTTTTAAATGACTGTTAAATTGCCGAATTATAATGCTTTCTGGTTAGTTAGAAAGGCGACAGATGAGGGGGGGAGAAGTGGTGATTGATGATGTCCTGGGATCTTGGTTTCTGGAAGGGAAGACGCCGACGAGGGACACGTTGTCCCACAGCCACTGCCCCCCACGCCCCGCAAAAAAAAGTACCAGGATGATCAAGTTAAGGTGTGTCGACTATGAAAAGACAAATGCATTCTCAGCAAAGCACATTACGTTTGTGATTGTATTCCACGCGTTTATTGATGGCCTACTGTGCCGTGGGACTTTAAAGAAAGTCACAGTCCTTGAATTCAATGAGTTAATAAATTATAGAACAAGCCCCTAGAACGCTACAGTTTGAGTGGATTGGATTTGCGCAGTTCTCTTGTTTCATAGGTGAGGACATAGTCACTTCAGAGAATATTTGAAGTCCGCTCGTCCCGCAGCTTGTCAGACATAGGAGCAAAACTCTCGTCTTCTAATTCGGAACTCACTTTAAAAATAAGAAAACTATAAAGTAAAAAGTCTGAAAAACTTGCCATAAAGCAGTAGATGACCAAATACAGTTGCTGGATGAAAAGTCGGGTTCTTTCTGCAGGAGTAGCCCTAAGACAGAAACTTCCTACAACGTGAAGTTAACATTTATAGTAAAGACATTTATTTTTTTTCTCTCTTAGAATTCCACTTAAAATAACATGAAAAGGCTCTAGATGCGAGAAGTGGTACATAGAAAATTTTCGCTTAAGATTAATGGCTTGTTCTCTTTAAGCATTCCACAGCTTTACTTTGGCTGGTTCCCATAAGTAGAATGATAAACGAATGTCTCGCTTTCATGCCTTTGCTGTGGAGTTTAGGTCAGGAACATGAGCTCTGGGATCATAATAACTGCTCTCGCCACATACGAGTTTAGTAAGTCAGGCCACCTGCTTTGATCTGCCGAGCCGTCAGTCAGAGCGCCCATCTCACAGCTCTGCTCGCCCTTTCCAGCTACTACCCCGTTTATCGCTTTCCATTCCTTGAGAGAATGTTGTTTCTGGTTTTTTCTTCTCCATTCTGCCTCGAACCTACTCCTATTTTGTTTTCGCCCTCACTGCTCCACTGAAACTGCCTGGTTCGAGATCCCCAATGACCTTTGACATCGCCAACTCCCCTGGCCACATCTCCCCCCTGCCTTTCCTGACCTGCCAGCAGCATTCGACCCATTGGGTCGTTGTTCCTTCCTCTGCTTTCTGAGACACACGCTCGACTTTTCCTCCTGCCTCATCGTCACTACTTCTTGGTCCATCTTGTTGGCCTCTCCTCTTTTTTTTCCCTCCCCTGATCTTTATGTTGGAGTGTTCCAGAGCTCCGTCCTTGGACTTCTCTGTCTCTATTCATTTAATAGGTGACCTCATCTGTTCTCAAGGCTTAGAAACCATCCTGAGTAGTCCTGAGTACGTACCTAACCACCTGCCGGATTCTTTCTTTCGATGTCCCATGTGCATCTCACACGGGCCTCCTGGGGCAGCTTCGTTCCTTCACTTGGGCTCGGGCCAACACCTTGGACTCATTCTTTTCTCCTCTCTTGTACACTCTACATTTGGTCCAGTAGCAGACCCTGCCAGCTCACCTTCAAAATATATACAGTCATGCACCGCTTAGTGACATTGTTAGTGACAATGAGAAATGCATCGTTAGGTGATTTCGCCGTTGTGCAAACACCGTAGAGTGTGCGCTCACACGAACCTAGATGACATAGCTACGACACACCTAGGCTGCGTGGTCTAGCCTATTGCTCCTAGGCTACAAGCCTGTATAGCATTTTACCATACAAAACAACACGAGACTGAATCAAACACAAGAGAAAATGATGCAATCCAGAGATGTGGGAAACAGAGATGCAGGAAGCTGCTGCCGGCGTGACATGGCATACTGTTTTACAACAAACTTTTTAAAATGTAAGTAGAAAGAGTACACTCTAAAATCACGATGAAAGTACAGTACATAAGCTAGTAATATAGTCATTTATTATCAAGTATTATGTACTGTGCATACTGTATGTGCTACACTTTTACGTGACTGGCAGCCAGTGCGTTTGTTTGCACCAGAGTTACCACGAACACGTGCATAATGCATTGCACTACGATGTTTCGACAGCTATGACATCACTAGGCGATAGGAATTTTCCAGCCCCACCATAGTCGTATGGGACCGCCATCGTATATGTGGTTCGCTGTTAACTGAAGCATCAGTATCCAGTACACGACTAGACACGATTGAACAGCTTCTCCCCCAATTCAAGGCCACCATTCTCTTTATTGCTAGAGCTTCTCCCCTTGCTCCACTTCAGTCTGCTTTCAACACAGCAGCAGGTGACTCTGTTAGGATATAAATCTGATGATGTCATTCCTTGGCTTGAGCTCTTCCATGGCTTTTCAACCACTTAAAGTGAAAGGGCCGTGACCTCTGAGGCTGCCCATTCCAGCATCGCTCCCGTTCTCAATGTTCCTTGGATGGGCCAATTGTGTCCACACTCGGGGGTCTCTGAAGTTGCTCGTTTTTTTCATTTTTTTTTTGTTCTTTTTTTGACCTCGAATCATCTTTCCCTGGACATCTGCATAGGCAACACTCACATCTTTTTTTTTTTTTTTTTTTTAGCTCTTTCCTCAAAAGTAAGTTAGCAAAGTGAAATCTCTTTCTCTAGAATTTCCAATTTTTCAAGATATTTCATAGCTCCCTTCCCTGCTTTGTCTTTTCTTAGCACTATCTCAAGTCGACATGCCATCATTTTACTTATTTATCTTAGTCTTTCCAACTAGAATAAAAGCTTCACGGGGGCAGGGACTTTGCCTGTTTTGTCCACTACACCAAGAATAGAGCCTGGTGCATAAAAAGGTATGCACATAATTCAATAATGAATGAGTTTAACAAGATGGTGTGTGTTAAGTAGAATGCCTGGAACTCTGCCTGAAATGTGAATGGGTAGGATTGGTCATCCTCAAGGTCCTCTCCAGCTCTAAAAGTCCAGGGTTCCAATAGCAATCTTAGATTCAGGTAAGGCTTTAGACTCATACTTGGGACTATTATTGTCTTAATGATTATCTCCTAATGAGGTCATATCACTTAGCATGTTAGATGTTTAATTTCTGAATTCCAGTCTTTGATGAGCCAGACATTATATGCCAATTTCCCAGGCACTGCTGAATAGCAGGTAAGCATTGCAATAACATTGTCGAATAGGAAAAAAAAAATCACTCACTGCTGAATCATTCCCCATGCTACCTTTATCCTTTCTGTCTATAATGCCAATTTCCTTTTCCTCCTAATCCTCTCATTTCAGTCCTCCCACTTTCTTTTGATTAAGATATAGGTCAGGAGCTGTTGTATTGGCATCCACCGAGTGATCCCTCTTCCTACCTACATTCCTGATGACTAAGGTACATAACAGTAACATGGCTAAACAAGCATGGGGCATTTCTTCATTATCTTGGTCACATTCATTAACTCATAAGCTCTTCATTTTGTGAGGAGTAGGTGTCGAATACGTGCCTTCCAACTGACTCAGTTATGACTCTCTTTGTCTTTAATTTATTGTGTGCAGGTCCTTGGTTTATGTCCAGGAGAATGAATTAAATAAACATTAATTAAGCTGATTAATATTCTGAGCACTTTAAAGGTTTCTGTTGACCTAGGTAAGGAATACTCTTATCTTCTGGAGCTGAGCCTTTTAGTACATTATAAAATTCTGGGCGAAGCAGCTTCTTACTTAAGTGTTTTGGGAATTATACTTATTGCATGATAATGCACAACTAGGGGAAGATCAAGAATATTAAGATACTGTGGGAAACAATCACTGAAGAACAACTTGTATTCTGTGAACATCTTCGTCTATTTTCTCTTGCATTCTTCACTGCACATGTCACAGTCTTGCTCATTTTGGAGCTCAGTGATCATGGGAAGGGTGAGCACACTTCCTCTATGTTTGTCACAATAACAAAGTCACTGTACATGTTTCAGATTTTGCACTTTATTTTCTAGATTTATTCGTATAGTAACCCAGCTAATTTTTAGTAGTCAACCTAAAGACTTTTGACTATTTTCATTTTGTTAGAAACAAGATGGTCGTGAATAAAGAAAGAATTTTATGAATTTGCTTGCTCTATTTTTAAAATGCATTTCCTTTGGATATTAGATTATGTTGTATGGGTTGTCAAGTGCTAATTCTTTCTAAACTTTCCCTGAGTTACAGATTATGATTATATTACTTACTCACTGTTTATATTGTTATTCAACTGTTTACTAAATGCCTACTTTCCTCAAGAATAAGTAGTACATATAGAGCAAAAACCTTAAAATTAGAGAACAGGAAAGCAGTGGTCCTTGATGATGCCTTAAATTGATAGAAACTTTGTTTCAAGGTACTGTATCTCTGGTTTTCAAATAACATTATGAGACTGTTGGTCTTTAAGAGTTTATATTCTAATAATGTTGATCTGTATCATTTTTCATTTTTCTCCATGTTCTTGTTTTTATCCTACTTTTTTATTATAAAATTAATATTTACTTATAACCAAATTTTGAAAAATGCATAAACGGATAGCTAACTTCACCCTTAACCCACTGAAGGTCCCTTGAAAAGAGCCACCTACCACGTCTACGTATAGTAAGTGAGAATGCCTGTGTCTTTAACTTGCTATTATTGAGTATTATCAGCCTTTATAATTTTTGCTGATCTGATGGGTAAAAATCTTATCTGTTATTTTATTTTGTATTTCTTAATGAAGTTGGAGACATTTTATTTTGATCTGTTTATTGATCATTGCCTTTTGTTGATTTTCTTTATTAAAATAATGTTAGAGATTTTATATTAAGTTCCT